GTCTTCATTTTCATGCACTATCGCATTCAAATTTTCACTTACACCTATCACATCAATGAACGATTGAGAAGTTTCAGTCACTCGTGTTGGTGCTACCACTATCTAGTTTAGTTTGAAATAATTTAACAGAATATGAACTTTTTCACATTCTGTTAGGTTAGGAAACATAAGATTTATATTGATATCGCCCATAATCAGCATCAAATTTACTTCCGTATAGGGTCTTTCAACTTGATGAGTTAGTTGAAAAAGAGATATTAAAATTGAATGATTTTCAAACCCACCAAGAAGATACAACAAAGCCTCAGATCGGCTAAAACAGCAGGGGGATATAGCATACTGTGCAGTTGTCGGAAGGTATACATTGGAACCACCAAAAGACCCATGGAAACAAGGCTGAAGGAGCACGAAAGAAACTGCAGAATAGGCCAAACGAACAAGTGGGTTTGGGCGGATCACATAATGAATATAAATGATAGGAGAATATGAAATATAACAATAACAAGAGAAACAATAATGGTTTTAAATCAAGTGAAAGTAGCAGTTCCAGACATAATAAGTTCTGAAGAACAAGTTCTTCGCACAGGACGACAGACTGCCAATGGAATCTCTGCTTTCGCCTGCCTTAGTCAAGATGTACATTCGAAACGCTGGCTATTGAAGATGCCCAAAGAAAAACCCCCAGTATAGTTAACATTAGTCATGGAACTGGACACTTTTTGCAACACCTTAAGTGAGTGAGACTTTCTATAATATTTACAATGGAGAGGAAAGTACACAATGAATTGCCGTTTTTAGACGTAATTGTGAAGAGGACCGACAAGTGGAAAATATCTCTATACCGAAAATCAACCCATATGAGACAGTATCTGAATGACGAATCCAACCAACATCAATCCAATAAGGAATCGTCGAAACCCTAATTGATCATGCATTCCGGCGCTATAATACGAAGAAACGTGTCGACAAGGAACTAGGATATATCAGGAAAGATGGAAAGATCTTCAGCAGAATGGTTACTCGAAGACGGTGACTAGAAGACAGCAAGAGTCTCGCAAGAAAAATAAGACGTCACAGCTAGTATTATCCTTTTCTCGCGGCGGAGAAATGTCAAAGAGGGTAAGAAACGGGTTTGAATAACAATAAAATTTGCTTCAGATTCGGGACCACCAGCCACACAATGCGGACAGCTCCTCCTAGAATCGCGAAAACCAAGAAGTCGCTGGAACTCCGTATTGGCACCAAAAAAAAAAAGACATCCAGTGGTGAAAAACCAGCAAATCGAAAATAACACAGCATCATTGCACTTGTTATCACTTACATCAAGTGGTCCGAAGCTGAAATCACTCAGAAACACTGGAAAAAGTTTGAAGAAGCTGCTTACTTGTTGTACAATAAGCATTTAAGCAGGCTAGTGTGAAGATAGGCAACCTCTTATCATATCCAACTAACTAAGTACATGAATCACAATAAACTAAAACTCAACACCTCCAAAACCAAATATAAACTGGTTATATCAACTGGTTATCAACTGGTTATAAGCTATCACTCATCAACAAACACAACATAAGATTACAAATTGCAGGTGATGTAATAGAGTTCGTAAGTGAATTGAAATACTTAGGTTGCATGGTGGATAATCGTTTATCCCTTCATGAGATACCGTCTATGGTGTGATTTCATGAACCTTTTTGCAGACGATACTTTGTTATCAATTTCAGGAGATAATATAGAAACACTGGCTGGTCAAATGATTAATGAACTAAGAAATGTTTTCAAGTACATGAATCGCAATAAACTAAAATTCAACACCTCCAAAACAAAACTAAAATTCAACACCTCCAAAACAAAACATATGATCTTATCAACTGGTTATGAGATATCACTCATCAACAAACACAACATAAGATTACAAATTGCAGGTGATGTAATAGAGTTCGTAAGTGAATTCAAATACTTAGGTTTCATGGTGGATAATCGTTTATCCCTTCATGTTCATTTTGATTATATATAAAAAAAAAAAAATTACTAAAAAAATATATTATTTCTCAAGAATTTCATCTCAGCTTCAAATGTACTCAAAAGTTACATTATATAATTGTATAATCCAACCGCATTTCGATTATTGTGCTGGTCTTTTATACTCATTTGACCAAAATAAGGTATCGGCTTTACAAAGTTACAGAATCGTGGAATGAGGATTATTTTGCAAGTGAATAGATATACCTACTAGTATATCAAACATGTTAAGTATATTGCAGTGACTGTCTGTTTCCCAGGGACTGTACGAGTTAGCAATGATATGCATTTTCAAACTAACACGTAACTTGCTTCCAACTCATTTTGAAGAATTCTTTATATATAAATCTCAAATCCATAACCACTTAACAAGAGCGAGTAGCTCCCAAAAATTCCACTTTTCTCGAACTAACTTGACTAGTACAATGAAGTCTTTATTGCATAAAGGTTTGAATGAGTACAACAAACTCCCACTTTCATTGAAAGATTCAATAAATGTTTTTCAATAAAAAAAAACTCATGGACTATATACAATCTCATCCCTGATTTTCTTTTTTCTGTTTTGTAATATATTTGTTATGTATATCCTCATGTTGAAACCATTCTGGAATGATTGAAAAATGCGTTTCTTTTTTTCTTCTATCATTCATGATTTTTGTTATTTATATGTCATTTATTTATATATTTTTGAAATAATGTATGTATATTAGGATGTCCTAAAGAAATCAATAAATATTATTATTAATAATCATTAATTATTTATTAATTTTCATTTCAGAGTCCTTATATTTCTGAATTTTGTACTCAAACTTCATTTCGTTTCTAAACTTTTATAATTGAATTTTTATTCAAATATTTGAGCTGCACCACTCCTGAGTATTAAATTCATACAGGGTGGTGAACATTTTCAAAAACAAAACAATGCGTCTATTGCCAGTTATTATCCGATAACGGTTGTAAATGTTCATATTCAAATATCTGGCATTCTCCACCTGATAATACTCAAGACGATACTGAAAATCTCGTGGAGCATTTCATATTATTTCAGATGTAATTTCCTGAATTTCATCAGTTGTTCTGGCTTTCATTTCTTTAATACGGTTACTCTGTTGGATTGCTGGGAGAAATTGCCAGCCGTTCCATTGTTTCGCGTCTACCATGTTTCATCGAAATAATTAAGCACTTGTATAAAATGATGCGGTAGTGTGCCATTTTATTGAACCACTCAGAGCTCTCCGGCCAATGATGGATATTGCAGAAAATGTAGAAATTGCTGCGACATCACTTTTGTGGTCTATGAAACCGAATATACTCATACGTAGTGTTGCTCAATATACCTTACAAAACTGCTATAAGACATTTAGAGGCTTTCGATAGTTTGGAAATCGAAACATGATAAAAGTCCCATTCCATACAGACGCTGTCATTTTCTTACGTAATGAAAGGCAGAACCGGAATCTCTATCGTAGAATGAATCTGTTCCAAAATAACAGAGCTGCAACACTCTTCCAGATTCGCGGTTCCAGGAAATGAAGTAGACTGATTCGTTATTATAAAACTGGTCTCTATTTATATTTAGCAGTCCTCTACTTCAGATTTCTTTTTATCAAAACTCGCAAACACATCATTCGACTCCTCATTTGCTACCAATTCAAATCTACAAGATTAGGTATGGAGAGCAAGATTGCGTTTTTCACTGTCGTGTTGTCTATAGAAATAGTTGATGAACTGAAAGAAATTCTGTTCCATGCAGATTTTTGTTAGTTATATTTAGTCTTCGATCACTCAAATATTCGATAGTTTATGTTATAGACAGTTGGAAACAACGAGGATATATCAAATAATACTCGCACCAATTATAAGGTTCAGATAGTTTCAATCTATCTGGTTAGTCATGCAGCAATTTTAATAAGTGAAGGAACTTATGACGGAAACAATTAGTCGTACCAACTTGCCAGGCTTGTGAATTTTTGGTAGACCGCACATTTTAGTAACTGTAGACTTCTGTTCAAAGCCTGCGCTTCTGATACCATCTCAGGCAATGGGTTGCTTGTTACCTAAATTAACAATTATCTCGAACTAACTAATCTGTCTCATATCTCAACCTCATTGCCCTTGTCTGCTTTCAGATATAAAACATTTTTTTATACGCTTTCTTTCTTTTTATACATTTTGTTTCTTCTGTAGATTTTCAGATCATAGAAGTCATTGACATATAAATCAAGAATTGAGGTACAATAATAAACTAAAACTAGGAATGATAATAGGAACCCGTTCAAACTTAGTTTACAGCATCTAAAGGAACAATTCATTCAGGTTAATGGGCTGATACCTATCTCAAAACAACTACATATGACTATATATGTGAAAACTTTTCTTTCCTTCTACGAGGAATTGGGCAAATTTCGAATATGCGGTTGGTTACCTCCTTCACAGGCAGATGATACACCTGTCATTTGTGTTCCGCTTCAGCTTAGTTCGAGGAATGATATTCTGAAGTAATTCAATTTTCAATTATCGGAAATCATCGACCTTATGCTAAGCATAGTCACTATCTTGCACAGACGAGTGACCAAACAGCCCGATATAATCCAACACCCATCGTGGTATTAGCCAGGAAGTAGTTGTTTTCTGGTTTTTGTCAGTCCATTAACCTACAGCGTAGGTAGTTGAGACTGGCTTGAACGAATTGTTCCTTTAGATGATTTGATTTATAGACAGTCTTCAAATATGCCCACTGACTATATGTGATTAGTTCAAAGATTTAGTTTTAATCATCTCGTGATGATGCTGAACTGGTTAACAAAACTCGCGTCGGGAGATAATGCTCTATTTCTGGTGTGGAAAAAGTGTATTCATTAGATTCATTTCAAGCCAGAGGTTTCAAATCTATCTATCAAGTAATATTTTGCGAGGATTAATTCCAAACATACAAACTATTCATGTTACGAAAATATGAAAGAAAATTAATCAGTATTTACCTGTTTGTAAAAACACAAATGTCAATAAGGCAATGGGAATAGTGTATATGGCAAAAGACTGTTGAGGCACCGGTACCGTAGCGTTAGTCAATGGACGAGACTTGCCCCCTGGGTTTGTACGCATGCCCATCCCGGCGGTCCCATACTCCTAGCTAACTCGACCTCATTGCCGGTTTTTCTGAAACAAAAAACATCTATCAGTAGGTTGCCTTTCACTGAAATGAAATAATATTTAGATTCATAAGTCTAGTAGATGACTTATTACAGTACTAATATAGTTGTTTCACAGACTAAGCGACGTAGGAGTTTATTCTATTCAGGAAGAGTACCGAAAAACGAAGCAGCATTTCCTCTTTGGATGGCTATACTAATTTTTTGAATGAGAAAAGATGTGGCTCTTGATTCGTGGGTTTCATCGGTTACCTTTTTTTCCAATTTCATTGATGAAAGATAAGGCTTCAGAGCCAAAAACACCAAAAGTTTCAACAGCTATTGGGCGAAAGATATAATTATTTCCCAAATTCTGATATTTCCGAAGTTCGTAACTTTCTCCTAAAGAGGCAACAGTACCAGTTTTCGCAGAAGTAGCAGAAAGATGGCAAGTTGCTAATGTATCCACACAAGTAAAGTCCCAAACAACCGATTTACCATTTTTCCATGGAACAACTGTGTGTCTATGGGTTCTAAAATGGCAGGACTTTTTGCTGAAGTTAAAGCCCTTTTGATTAGATCATTAACTGCACAATGACGAGATGAACAAACAACGCTAAAACGGCAGCTCAACCCTTAAGTACCTGATTCATCCACAATTGCACCACATTTACAAAAGTGTTGAACACACAGTGGTATACCAAGTCGAAATCCGATGGCAAGTCTGAAAGAGTCGTCATCCAATAGAGTCCCAAGTGATGCTACAGGAACAGCATTTAACCAAGCACCAGATTCTTTCACAGTTACTGCGAGAAGACGAGCGTTATTTTCTGAAGCGTCAGAAGCTGTCTTTAGTAAAATACTAGTTGCTTGATAAAGTAATAGTTCATTTCATGCCCTCTGGTTTTTCATGTCTTCAATTTTCATTGTTTGGCTAGTTCTGGATTCATAAAGAGATTTGCCCCGATCAAAAACACAATCAGATATTGGCTTTGGGTATTGTAAGATGATTTCTATCAGATTGGAAACACTGCAAAATGATGAATGAAATGACGACACAGCGAGTGAAGTGGCTGAACGAATTCCTAATCCTCCTCTAGAAACAGGAAGTGCCGCCTGTAACCAAGTTTCGTCTTCGATACTGCTATTAGTGATGAGTTCCAGCATCCTTCTTAATTCGTCATCGATGTTTTGTAATCCCTGTTCATCATGCCAAGTAGGGCTGCACCTCAAAATATACGATAATTTTGGAATGGCTAATGAATTGTTCAACAAATGGAATGCGATATGTGTTGGTAAAATAGATAAACGTCCTGACATGACATGAATTGATTGTAATTTTTCTTCCAAACAAAATTTTAAGGCATCATCAGATACTGGGGCACCAAAAAGAAACCAATTGGGTTTTTCAATCACACGTATACCCGGAGCTATTAGGATAAATTGATCGATGATGTTAGGGTCCTGTTTATCCAGAAACATAATGAGTTAACATTTTTTATAATAGTAGGTATTTGTTGTGAAAAATAATTTTGAATATTTTTGTTCCTTCCAATACAAAAAATGTTATCCTAATCATCAGTCTTTGTCCCTCATGTCAAGTGTCTTGGTAACCACAATGTTTCATTTTGGTCTGAAGTTACTGTTTTATATATCCCCTTGTCTCTATGATAGATATAGGTTATTTTTGGGCTCGTGTTCGGTGTGTTAATTCCGTGAAAACCGTGCCTCATATGATTTATGTGCCTTAATGAGGTTTCACGGAAATAAAAAGTGTTCAGCACCATATAACACGATGAGAGCAACTTTTTTTCATTAGGTTTCGCCTAGTCACCTGTCAACGCTAAATCCTAATTACGGACTCAAAGAAATGACAAGAAGGTGGTGCAAATACGACCGAGAACACTCCTTTTAACGAAAACTAACTCTAAATCACTTTTGCTAGACGTTTTATTTGCGTTACGTGGTTCAACACTTTGTCAGTTTGCCTAGAACATAAATTACAGGCGGAGCTTCAATTATAAGTCGCAATTATGAGGTTGGTATGGTTGCGGTGAGAAGAAGGGTTTAATGAGATGACAAATATGTGAATGTAAAGTGAGCATTAAATTGAAAAACGAAGGTGACATAGTGGACTCAAAGATATCACTGGTAACTGTTGAAGATAGTGAACTCTATATCAGCATGTGAATTCAAATACATGATACTCAAAAGTAAATTTCAGTAGTTTATAGAATATGTATCGAAGATGATAATTAGATTTGACGGTTCACAAGACATTACGAGAATGTAGAATGTAGTGATGTCTTGTTGGCCTAGACCGGCTTCGTAAGCCGGTGTGTTACTTTAGTAACGAAGAATACCTTATTCGAACTGTCAGTATGAAGTCCCACGTCAAGTAGTCATACCATAGTTACATAAGTGAATTTGAAGATATGCCTGATACCTTTCACCATCAATGCCTTTCATAGTGTTGCCTCTTGTCTTGACGAAAATACCCAAAAGGAAATTTCCTTCTCGTATAGACAAGAATATCATTTCTCTCGACGAGAAAATGCTTTGTGTTGACTTGTTTCGACTTCTATCGATTTCTCTTGTAGTAATCAGCAAGCGCAGACTTCTCTGGTCTTGTCTCGTCTTAACAAGAATAACCATGGTGAAATGTCTCTCTCATTTCGACTTATATCGACTTCCCTTGCAGCAATCAGTGAGCGTAGCCTTCTCTAGTCTTGTATCGAATACCCAACAGAAATCTTCTCTTTCATTTTGACTTCTATCGACTTCTCTTGAAGTACTTGGTGAGCGTAGCCTTCGTTAGTCTTGTTTCTTCTTGTCTTGACAAGAATACCCAAGAGAAAATTTCTCTCTTTTCGACTTCTACCGACTTCTCTTGTAGTAATCGGCAAGCATAGCCTTGTATAGTCTTGTTTCGTCTTGACAAGACTACCCAAGGTAAAATGTGTCTCTCATTTCGACTTATATCGACTTCCCTTGCAGCAATCGGTAAGCGTAGCCTTCTCTATTCTTGTTTCGTCTTATCTTGGCAAGAATACCCAAGAGAAATTTTCCCTTTCATTTTGACTTTTATCGACTTCTCTTGAAGTACTCGGTGAGCGTAGCCTTCTTTAGTCTTGTTTCATCTTGTCTTAACAAGAATACCCAAGAGAAAATTTCTGTCATTTCGACTTCTATCGACTTCTCTTGTAGTAATCGACAAGCGTAGCCTTGTCTAGTCTTGTTTCGTCATGACAAGAATACCCAAGGTATAATGTCTCTCTGATTTCGACTTATATCGACTTCCCTTGCAGCAATCGGTAAGCGTAGCCTTCTCTAGTCTTGTATCGTCTTATCTTGGCAAGAATACCCAAGAGAAATTTTCTTTTTCATTTTAACTTCTATCGACTTCTCTTGAAGGACTCGGTGAGCGTAGCCTTCTTTAGACTTGTTTCGTCTTGTCTTGACAAGAATACCCAAGAGAAAATTTCTCTCATTTCGACTTCTATCGACTTCTCTTGAAGGACTCGGTGAGCGTAGCCTTCTTTAGACTTGTTTCGTCTTGTCTTGACAAGAATACCCAAGAGAAAATTTCTCTCATTTCGACTTCTATCGACTTCTCTTGTAGTAATCGACAAGCTGTTAACACTGGTTAACAGAAGATAAATTCAATTACATTAATCTAACAGGATACTCACTTTTATCCCGCTACTGTAGGAAAACTTCCACTCATGGAGGCGTTTGTATATTTGCCAAATCTAAGTTTGATACAAAAGTTATAGAGTATAAAGAAACCATTGAAAAAATATTTGAGGTTAATATTACTTGTCTTAAGATCACCGGGAAGTGATGAAATAGTGTTCATAGAAAAATTGCAACAATTGCTTTGCAGAATCTATGTAAATGATGCTTTCTATTTTTTCTGTGGAGACATAAATGTAAATATGTTATTTGACAGTAATATTTCCAAGCCGGTAAACAACTTATTTAAATAATTTAATATGGTTAATGTAATCAAAGAACCAACAAGAATACAGGGCACATCACAAACACTAATAGGTGTTATGTTCACAGATGCAAATACAGAGAAAGTATGGGTGAAAGATTCTTATATGTCTGATCATACATTTCAGGTATGTAGCATCCTAGTCGGTAATGTTAAGCAAAATACAACAGACAGTCCAATATTGAAACGAATCATCAATGATAATAACATTCAATCATTCATTACCGCGCTATGGAAAGAAACATGGGTGGATATGAAAACAGCCTCAGGTCTCGATAATAAGTTTCATGAATTCTATGACACTCTCATGTTTCACTTCAATAGTGCATTTTGATAATGTTATAATCAAAAAAAGATGTAAGAGTCTAAAAATTATATATAATCAATTGAAAAATAAAACGAAATACACATACAATAATATCAGATTAGCCACTAGCACAAACATTGTGAAGGAAAGTTGGAAGATAGTTGGTGAAATGAAACATGGAAAGAAGACAGGGAAAATAAATGTTCCTGATACCATCATCTACAATGGACAGGAGATACCAGGTATATCAAACATTGTAAATGCATTCAACAAGTCTTTCACTAATTTTCCACATAACAAACCAAATTATACTAACATCAAACTTCCACCTCGTAAATACAAAACTTTCTTTTTTCTCCCAGTCACTGGAATTGATGAAATTTGTGGAAAAGTGCTGAGTGCATCTGCTCATGCTCTCAGTGAACCACTGACTTATCTCGTCAATGAATCTTTCTTATGTGGACAATACCCCAGCATACTGAAGTTGTCGAAATCAATACCAATCTATAAAAATAAAGGAACAAAAAATGACACAAAGAACTATAGAAACATCTGTCTGCAAAGTCAACTAGCCAAAGTATTTGATATATGCTACTATTCCAGACTAGTAGAGTTTCTTGAGTCAAATGATCTGATACAGAACTTCCAACACGGGTTCAGGAGGAAAAAATCTACAACTACTGTTATAGCTCAACTCACTTCTTTTATCTATGACACATGGAATGAAAAAGAAACTCCTATTGCACTCTATTTTGATTTAAGTAGGGCGTTCGACATGGTAGATCATAAACTACTCCTTGATAAACTGGAGTATCTGGGAATTAGAGGAATAGGCAACGACTGGCTGCGCTCCTATATTGACGGAAGAAGGCAAGCTGTAGTACTGAATAATAATGTATCTGATAAACAATTTGTCGCACAGGGTTCAGTACTTGGCCCACTGTTGTTCATAGTGTTTATGAATGACCTGACTCACTCAGTCAGACAAGCAGATTTAGAAATTGTATATGCAGACGACACAAACTTCTGCTAGAGGAACTCAACAGCTCAAGAGTGTTCTGCCAGAGTTGATGTAAGTGCACAGGCATTTTATAATTACTGTCACAATAACGGATTATCTGTTAATGCAGAAAAAACTCACTTTATGATATTCTTACCCAAGAATGGTAGCTTTGATAATACTCTAACAATAACAATGAACCACCAAACAATTTAAAAAGCTGAATCGATAAAATTCCTAGGAGTCACAGTGGACCATAAGATGACCTGGAAAGAACATATTAATAATGTAGTAGCCAAACTAAGCAGTATCTGCTTCTTAATGAGTCAGTTTTGATGTCTTGAAAATGGTATATTTTGCACATGCAGAAAGCATACTGTCATATGGTCTCATTTTTTAGGGGTCATCTAGTAATCTGAATGATGCATTTATTATACAGAAAAAAATAATGAGATGCATGATGGGAACGTCACTACTGCATCCTGTAAAGAATTGTTCAGGAAAACAAGAATCTCAACCCTACCCAGTCTTTACATATTAAAACTAATTATAGATTTCACACAACAAAAACACAATATTCCCAAGAATCGAGACATCCACGACTATTATACAAGAAATATGAACCACTTTCTAGATTGACTATTGGACAGAAATCTCATAAATACCAACAAATAAAATGCTACAAATTTTATATTTATATTTGGGATTCGTTTGAATTTTTAGCCTTAGTTTTAAGATTTTGACTAGTCTGATAAGTATATATATGTTCACCAGCAGGCTGAATTGTGTATATGTTTTAATGATGAATAAAGCTACTTACTTACTTACTTACCTACATTCGAGGAAAGCAAATTATTTACGAAATCCGTCCGGTATTTCAATATATTCTCGTATACTCAGAGCCTGAAAACAAGCCACAATATTTTAGCGTTTTCTTTGTGTCCGCAAGTGATGTTAAGATAGGCGTTTGCTAAATTTTACTGCGAAAAAACGTGAATATTTCGAATTTCAATTCGAAATAATTATCCCATTAGTAGCTCCAATAGGTTATGTAATACGATTTGCTACTCATTTTGTAAGGTAGTACTTTCTGGACACAAAAAAAAATGTTCAAGTAGTTTCGTGATGATTTTAAACTATGAAAATTGGTATTATTCTGAAACTCTTCAAACACACGTTCTAATAGCAACGACTGTAGATCAATGATAACATGTAATACACAAAAATAATCAACGATTTATCATTGAACATGTGCCCTATAACCTGTTGGGGAATAGCAAGAATAACAAACCCATTAACGAGCAAAAATGAAAACAATACTTGTTTACGTGATAGCGACTCGAACTGCGACTAAATTCCCACTTCCTCTATCCTCACTCGGATCGACGCAAAAGGAACTTTCAGGAAAGGTATCCTTAGATTGTGACGGAAAGACATGTCCGGTTTCCTGCTGCATTCTCATTCTTCCTTCCACTTTGCACCTCTCGATGTCGAATGTTGCCTCGACTGCGCTATTCAAATTTACTCTTGCGGCAAATACTACCGTATCTATTCATGAGGAATTCTGGGAAGGATATGAATATTTTGCGATCTTCGAATTTTTATTCAGAATTTCTGAAGAAGTTCAAATTCTACGACAGATGAAAATCACTATCAGATTTATCACGGAAGCAGAAAGGCTGGTAATATATTCTGATTTGTGTTTGAGATAAACACTAAAGAAAAAGCTCATACGACAGGGTGGGTAGTGGGTAGTGTTCACTTCCTTTTGCTATTATTTTTTGTTTTTAACAAATGTCAACTGTGTCAAAGCTATAATCTGCATTTTTCAGCCGTGCTTTGCTGGTTTTTATGCCTAACGTTTAGTCTACTACTGCGGTAGACATTATAACAATTACAACAATAACAGAAACTACAATGCTCTACAATGCTACAATGATATAGGTTCTGCTTCCTCAGGTTGTTCTCGACGCAAAAATTATAAAGCTGATCAACAGCAACTACAACTATAACTACAACAACAACTACAATGCTGTAGTTTCTGCGAGCTTGAGTTGTTCTCAACTGAGAAACTGCAATGATGTACAACAGCAACTACAAGTACAACAACAGCAACTACAATGCTGTGCAAAGCTACATTGATGTAGTTTCTGAGTCCTTAGGTTGTTCTCAAAGCGGAAACTACAATGCTGTACAACAGCAATACAACAACTACAATGCTATAGTTTCTGCGTGCTCAAGATATTACGTTTTCTGTGCCAGAATAGAGGATGTATGACTCAGCCGCAACCTACTGAGTGTCTCTATTTTTGGCAGATCTTGCGTTTCGTCGACATACGGAAGTTGTTCGATCGTTTACTGAACTATTGGGCTCAAATTTATCCACCACATTGCGAATAGCCCTCTCGGTAGGAGATTATGGAGACAAAAAACTGAGTGAAACGCGCGGTATGCTGCTCGAACAGAACACCCATTTTGATAAAACACTTGGTGATTTGGCAATACGGACTGAATGTATGACAATTAATATGACATATCAATTGTCAAAGTTGGGAAGTCCCGGTTGGAAGACCCTTTAGTAAATTCTGCTTTTATCCTCGATTCTATCTGATACGTTGTTCTTCTGAAATTCGAATTACGATTCTGTAATCTTCCAATTCACTCGAGTTTACCCTAAAACAATCGGTTGTAAACTATTTCAGCGGTAAAGTTTTCTTGGCATTGTTCGCAATAAATTTCATATTCTACCAACTCATAAATGTTAATTGAGTTCTGGAGCAAGTAATCTTGGATAGTTTAATGAAAAGCAGCTGACTGGAGTTCACCTGGATTGTCTCTGATTAATCGAGTGGAATTATGCATTGAAGGGGGTCCCAAAATCGACTAATATGTTATTTGACTACTTGACTGAATAACTTACTTGTCCTAAAATGGTTGCAGCAAGATTATGTCTTACATTACCCATTTGCTGTCAGACATGAAAGTGTTAATCTAATATTTGTGAGGTATGGATTCATTAAAATTGTCCGAGATCGAGCTATGTGCACGATCTTTATCTTTGTCGATTTTTATCTATAATTAGTGTAAGATTACTTGACCTTCCATTTTACAGTTTGAAGAGTTCTGTCAATCTCAATAAAATTAAAAGTTAAATAAAATACAAGTTGAAATAGAACAACTGAACAGAAAATAGAAACAAAAATCAAGAGACTCCAAGCCAAGTTACTTCACGACGTTTCGATTGTTAGTATCTACAATCGTCTTAGGGTGATGACTGGACTAATTCCTCCGAGAGATGACTATTTATGGGTCATTCGAATACTTTCACTTATCTCCGCTTTTCTTTTTCCGCTTCACCGGCTTAGTGGGAGATGACGGTTTGATGGTAGTTGGCCATTTTTCGCTTGATTATAGGTTTCCATATGTTGCGTACCTCTACGCTAGCTTGGCTGAATATATTGTTGCGGCTTCCATGAATTTCCTCCTAAACCAATGTTCTTCCTTTTGTATGACGTCAGCTTGGGACCACTCGATGTTATGTTGATGGACCCAAACATGCTCTGCTTTTCCTGATTTGCTGGTTTCTTCTCGCCGGTAATGCGAACATTCAATGGCCTCTTAGTTTCACCAATATAGGATTTTCCGCACTCACAGGGTATCCGGTAAATGCAATTCTTGGAATCGCAGTTCGCGTTTGGTGGCCTGGTTTTCGTGAGGCTACTACGGATAGTTTTACCGGATCTGAAGCAGGTTCTGATGTTGTACTTGGAACCAATTCTTCTTATCCTCTCCGATAATCCTCTGATGTAGGGAAGTGCAAGCACTGGTTGTGACGGCTTCTTTTCCTTGCTAGGCTCCTTGCTTAGCCAAAATATTTTCTACCATCGCTTTGGAGTAGCTATTCCGTTGAAGATCATTTTTGATGATGTCTAGTTCCTTCTCGAGACCTTCCTTCGTATTACAGAGCCCAAAAGCACGGTCTAATAGAGTCTTGATGATTCTTCTCTTATAGTCGATTGATAATGGTTGGATTCATGATTCAGAGACTGTCCCGTGTGAGTGAGTTTTCGGTATACAGATGTTTCCCACTTAATGTCGGTCCTCTTCACTAATACGTCTAAAAATGGCAATTCGTTGTGGACTTCCTTCTCCATTGTGAAAGTGATGGAAGGTCTTAGGTTGTTGATGTGTTTCATGAAGGTGTCTAGTTCAGTATTCCCATGGTTCTATATCATGAAGGTGTCGTCAACTATCTCAACCAGACACGGAGTTTTTTGTGGGCTTCTTCAATATAAAAATTGATTGTTTGACTGCTGAATTAGTTGATATTACTTATTCAACCCTTGACATGTTTTTTGAGTAGAAAAAAATGGAGTTACAGATTGAACCCCAACCATCAAATAGATCATTTGACATTTTCGTAGCGATCAACTGAAGTTTTCCAGAAGAATCTCAGTTGATAATTATATTTAACTTGGGGAGAAGTTGGTAACCGAATAGAATTGGTAGCTTTCGCATCAGCAATAATTTGATGTAATGTGAGATATGACAAAAATTCTGAAATGAAGGAATTGTTTTGAAAATGTATTGATATTTGAGCAATGTTTTTCCAGATAGAGCTTGAAAGAAAACATACATCTAAATTATCTATTGCTTCAACTGGTATGAAGACAAACAGAAATCTAAAAACAGAATAGTGGTTGACCAAATATATAGGGTGGTCCAAACGAAGACATCTAAACATTTTTTCCAGATAGGAAACTATAAGACCTATCCGAATCACCTTCACATGTGTCATAGTTTTTGAGTTATGAATTTTTCAATTATTCTATGAGACTTTTTGGTCAGATTCGCATAAATACTTTTTTTGCCATCCGATCAAGAAGTATCCACTCCTCGGATGCTTTCTCTTCGAGAAAGTAGCGTTTTTCCGGCATAGTTCGGGAAGTACGAACTTCTCGAACTAGGCCGGAAAGAATGACATCGTTTTCGTCATTGTAAATATGAAAATATTGATAGCTACGGTTTTAATAAATGCAGTTGATCATCACCATAGCAGTGAAATAACGACTAACAGCTATTTGATATGAAATTAGTTGACATTTTGATTTTTAAAACTGCATGGTTTTTGTTTGCAATTATCGCAATAAACTATGGAAAGCAGCAACGAAAGAAAGTTCGAAAATGTGCCTAACGACATTTCCAATGTGGCAGCTGCTGTTACAGTACAATTATTGCCTGAAAAGTACATGTCCAGGTACAAAAAAGTTTATGATTCGTTAGAGAAATGGATGGAAATGAAGAAATGCAAAACTATTACAGAGGATGTGATTTTAGCTTAATTGACGCAAAAATTTTGAACTGTCAAATCCTGTACCTTGTGGAGCATTTACTCTTTGAAGAAAAGTACCATTTTAGCGGAGAAAAATGTAAACATAGCTACTCTCTTAAAGGTTATCGCATTTCTCAAAAGAAAGAATGTTGGTTATTCATTAGGGAGCAAATAATGCAACATATCTCACGCTAAAGGTGATTTTAACAAAACATTACGATTGTAGAATATAAAAGTAGCAACAAAAATGTCTATTGATCTAATAAACGATAAGGAGGATATGTTGCTTGTGAAAATACTAGATTACAAAACACAAATTGAGAAAAATTCGTATCCACATTTTTTGGAATCTCGGGTTAGGAATCGCAGAGTTTTTCAATTTACCCAGTCCTAAAAATTACACAAGCCATATAGTATTCGTCAAACTTCGGAGACCTTATTTGCTGATAATGGAAACCATCACAAATTTGAAGAGATATGGTGGCTGGAAGTCTACCAATGTCGCTGATGGATATACAGACAATTTACTTACAAAAAAATTGAAATTATCAGGACAATTTAAAAATATGTAATCAGATAAAAACAATCAATGTGAAACGACCTTCACAATCTGAAAAAAAAATACAAATCAGTGTAGGTGTACAAACTTCAATAATTTATTTACTATTTGACAACTGACAATTGTATAATAATTTGATAAAATGTGAGATGTGACAGAAATTCTGAAATGAAGAAATTGTTTTGATAATGTAGGTATCTATTTAGATATAGCAATGTTTTTCCAGATAGAGCTTGAAAGACGACATACACCTCAATTAACTATTGCTTCAAGTGATATGGAAACAAACAGGAATCTAAGAATAGAATAGAG